ACATTCATTAATGACCACGCACGATATTGCTATCTTTACTTTTTACACTCAAAATCCAAAGCCTTAGACCGATTTAAGAAGTATAAAGCTGAGGTAAATAATCAAACCAACCAAAAAATTAAATTCTCAAGAATCGATAGGGATGAATAATACTCCTCACATATCTTTAGAGACTTGTGTGTAAAGCATAATATTATACATCAATACATCATGCCTTATACACCCGAACAAAATGGAGTAGCTGAGAGATGAAATAGAACATTAGTAGAAATGGTGAGAAGTGAGATGAGGTATGCAAAGCTCTCCCTTGATTTTCGAGGAGAAACGGTATTAGCAGCGGGATATATTCTCAACTGCATACGCACTAAGGTTGCTCATGTTACTCCTCATGAAATATTCATTGTCGTGCTCATCTGCGGTATAGAAACCAATGCTCTTAACTTGGACTAAAAAGTAGGTAAAATACAAGCCAATACACATTCAAATTTTACATAACACTTGCAAGCACTGCTCAAAAACAAAACAAAATATAGCAAGGTCAATATAACTACGATGAGCTATTAACTTCCAAATATGCTCAAATGAGAGGACACAACTCAATTAGGGTCTATTGCACATGAACAAAACAAGTTATAAAAAGGGACCATTAAACTACATATGTATAGTATGCTTTTGAAAATTCAGCACCACTCAAACTTATAAAGCAAGATTATACATTAATGGACTTCATAAAACTTCACAACAAGATCTCCATTACATCAACAAGAACTTATCACAACAAGATCTCTATTACATCAACAAGTGAGCAATGTAACATGACTATGGGAAGCCAATCGGAGCTCTCGAGTGCCCAGTACAGCCTTGGGTCTTAGTTATATGCCATTGGGTGACAACCAATGGCATATCTCAAAATCGGGCCAATTCGTCATCTAATAAGTGGGAAGTCATTCATCTACTGATACACACTTAAAACATTGAAGGATTTGCATAAATCTAAATATCAACAACCAATGGCATATCTCAAAATCGGGCCAATTCGTCATCTAATAAGTGGGAAGTCATTCATCTACTGATACACACTTAAAACATTGAAGGATTTGTATAAATCTAAATATCAAATCAAGTAGGAAAATATTGGGAGAAAATCGAGCTCTTAAAATACAAAACAGGTTTAATTGAGTCCACAATTTGGCTCACAAAATTTTGGCATACTCACCTCTTATAAAATCAACAATTCAAGAGATCAAAAAGATCTTAAGTGACTAATATGATCATGAAAAGCTCAGAGAAATATCAGCTAAAAATACTTCAAAATTCAAAGAGTAAAACTCATGAAAAAGTATGTCAAAATGCATATAGATGAAGCTTTTAACTATATAGATCAAGAGAGAACAATGAGGTGGAAATCATGTATCTTTTGAGCATCAGGATTAGCGCAATCTCTCTTCGAGTAGGGAGTGACAATAAATTCGAGGGTTGTTACTTTTCTTGGCAACAAGTGCACAACCAGCGCTGCTCATATTATGTGCTCTTTGAAAGGAACCATACTAGCTACATTAGGGCAGGATGGCCAACTTGTCTCACTTCTGAGACCAACAACAAATTTGTGGTCCTTAATTTTTGCTAGGGGAAGCCATCATGCAGATTCATAGTAGTAGAGCAGGGCCAACCATCGTTACTAGCATTATGATCAGAGGAAGCTTTATGTAATGCCATTGCCAGAAGTGACACAAAGTTCTCGAAACAGGCTAAGAATCCAATCTGGTCATGCCTTTGCTTTCGATTATTCAGTTGAGTGGAGGATCCAAGCTCAAATTCAAGCCATTGATTAATTTCTTGATCTTTGTAATTGTGAAATCTATTTTCCTATAGAATCATTCGGAAATTAGGAGCCTAAGAAAATGATAGCTAAAAGTTGGGAACCCTTGTTTGGTAACATGTCTATGAAAATTGGGAAAATGTACTATGAATAATTGTTTCATGTGGGCTGGACCGCATTTGTACAATATGCGGTCCAGAGGTATAAAGCATCCATCTTAAAGACGGATGCTAATAGGTGGTCTATCTAAAAACAATTGTAACAAATGGTCCAAATGTTTTCTTAATATAAATATTATTTTTGGCTTTCAAAAATTATTTATTTTTTCATATTCATGATCTCCATATTAAAGATTACATATTCTCTAAAAATTAAGGTCAAATTATATTTAAAATATATATTTATTACCAAGCCAGCATTTGTACATGTGCGGGCTTGGCCGCATGTTAAACGCATCCATCTACTATTCAATTTCCCTTGTTTGCTAACCTGAAAATCTAGAAACCATTTATTTAATCAACTATGAAACTCATTGGTTCGAGGTTGCAATTTATCATTTGATTGAGATTTTTAACTATGACACTAATTGGTTCGAGGTTGTAATTTATCATTTGATTGAGATTTTTTAGTTATAAACCCATGTCATTTACTTGCAACATGGATGGTTAAGATCGTAAATCCTTAAATAGGAGCCAAAAAACACTTAAGTAGTTGACTGTCGCAATATCACATTACGCCCACGAGATGAACTCGGATTACAAAAAAAACTAAAAGAGTCCCAAATGCAAACCAGAAGAATCCCAAAACTTGCACAAGACATTCATAATTCATTTGAATATGCTCATAGGTTTGGGAGTATAGAGTTATTGAATGAATTTTCACTAATTGGCCCTTACTATATAATTGTTTGGCCTCTATCTTCACATAAGTGGCATAATTTTGGATCATGCACATGGTGAAGGGACAATGAAATAGTGATGCAAAAAAATGGGGAAATACATATTTCTTGTTTCCTTGGAAATCACAGCCTAATAACATTAAAAAATTTATTGTTGAACCTTGGAACCATTGTTCGCAAAATCATCCAATCTAATAGCTAACCGCCCGGTTAGATCGGACAGTGGCCAGTTTCAGTTTTGGATGGTTAGAGTGATCAACCGGTATTTAAAATAAATAAAAAATAAAAAAAAACATATATAAATTCTCAAAAATAAAGAATTTGATTTATAATGTATTTTTAAATATTCTTTACATTATAGTAAAGACTAAAAAAAAAATTGATCGTTATACTCACTTTCATATTTTTTCATCCTTTTTAAAAAAATTTAAAAATCACCTTTAGAAAATATAAAATGGATTAATTTTCAACTTTATTTGCATATGTTTTGTTTTAATCATTCTTTATATGCTTTTCATATCTTTTTTTTTCATTAATTTTCAACTTCTTTTGAATGTATTTTGTTTTAATCATTCTTTATATGCTTTTCATATTTTAATAAAAAAAATTTGTTTTTTTTTTAATTTGTTTTGAACACTTTTTTAACCACCTGGGACTTTCCCAGTTAGAACGATTGAATCAGCCAATTTACAAGTTAAGCGGGTTAAACCGCTTCCATACTCTTGTCCGATTAACCGCTCCGGTTTGATTTTGCAAACACTGCTTGGAACTGAAAAAATCAAAGGTAGATCACACAAATAATGCACATGACCCTCTGAAAAATGCAGAGAGGGAGCACCAATTTTCCAAAGCCTGCTAAAGTTAAGATTATGAGCTTCCAACGAAAAATACATGAAATAAATTTTTGGATAATATCAACAAAACTATTCGATAATATCAGTAAAAATTATTGATAATATCATAAGCAAATATCAATTACTGATAAATATCAAATATAGGTAATTATCATTTAAACATCAATAAAATTATTTACTGATTTTTGCTGATAAAATAATTAGATTTGTTAATCAGAGAAGAAGGAAATAAAAGCCAATATATACTAAAAAATAAAAGCAAAGAAAAAGAGAGAAATAAAAGCAAAAGTAAAAAGATGAAAAATCATAATTAAAAATAGCCTTGGGCTATAGAGAGAGATGGGGGTTTGGGATTAGAGAAAGAGAGAGAATGAGTTCTAGAGATTGAAGACAGAGGTAACATGGGTTTACAAAGGGGAGCTAGGAGAGAGAATTGAGTTCTAGAGATTGACGACAGAGGTAACATGGGTTTACAAAGGGGAGCTAGGGCTTGGGCACGTTGATAGGGCTTGGGCACGTAGAGAAGGCTTGGGCTATGAGATAGAGAACGTTAACAAAGGAAAGAGATCGTGAGGATAGAAGAGAGAAAGAGGCTAGGGATTGGGGGAACAGAGAGGGAAGGGGTCAGGGCAGTTATGGTTATGCAATGAAAGGGCGGAGCGGGTTATGTTTTTCTCCGTTTTCATTGAAGTTCCAAAAATGGGGAAAAGGCTGAAATACAGTTTCTCCGTATTTTCACACTTTCCCCATAGCAATACCGAGGAAAGTATCATAGCTGAGTAAGTGTTTTCTTATGTTTTCTAAGTAAACAAACGGGCACTACACCTGGCTCACAGATGTGCTGGACCAGGAAGTGGCAGATCGTCTGTGGAGCGACTCTTGGAAGAATAAAAAAGCCTGGAGAAACAGAGGTTTTAAGCAAAAGCACAATTGAATTCTCGCAACTAGAAAATCCTTGATCATGATGATCACCACTCCAATCAATGATTAGATGGAGAAAGAAGAGTTGCACCTGACATTCATCATTGATTGGAGAATAGTCACCGTCTGTTGAATTTTGAGATTTGTATGTAGAGAGAGAGGTCGATGGCCAAATTTCAAAGAGAGCATGCTACAGCATTCTAAGTTTTTGTTAGTATATACACAGACTGAGGGAGGTAAGAAGGGAAGTGAATTATAATCAAAGAAGAAGACATGCCACACCTTGAAACAGAATGGCAAAATCCCAAACTTTCTCATGATACATTAAGGTCCTGATCTCGATCTCTCTCTCTCTCTCTCCCTCTCTCTCCCTCTCTCTCTCACACACACACACAGCATGGACATACAATGGGCCCGTGACATGCAATCCCTGAAAGGTCATCTAGAGGCATGCTGCGACATGTGAAACATAAGCATTATCTAACCCAGTATTGTTGGCCCTAACATGTGATATGAAATCATCGCAGGTAATCGTCTCTGTAATTAGTGAAACACTGACCATCCAGATCAACAAAAGCCCTAAGAATGACAATAAGAGACAGATTCACAGAAAACCTGAATAAACAACAGTCTGTGGTGAAGCATGAGTACCACATGTCTGAAAACCTGAGTAAACAAACAGTCTGTGGTGAAGCATGAGTACCACATGTTGGAAATGGTGAGAACCACTACATTTGCTATCTTTTCTTGCATTTCATTTATAAACACGGAATACAAGACGGAAAAGGCACAAGTAACTGCCTTATAACCTTGAAAATAGTGAAGCTCTCACATGGATCTAGCAATAAACATTCCACATGATACCCAAATGATATGCATGGCAAAGCGCAGAGGAGTTCCACAGAAACTGACCTCAAAATCCCCCCAAGTTATCTAGTTTGCCGTTACTACCTATATTCAATGGTTTCTCCCATGGCCAATATGGTCATCATCTCCATCCTCTGGTGAGTGGCAAGCCCCAGCCAGTCCATGACCACCTCTTCCTGTGAATGTCAAAGCAAATATCACAACATGGGACCAGGGACTTCTACTGTTTCGATACCCAATTACACATGATTCTTGAAAAACACATCAATTGATGATAGATAATGGTTGCCACAGTACTGAACTTCTACCTCACAACAGTGTGGCATAACATTAACAGCCACCACGAGGAGATACCAAATCCCCAAACAATGTCTAAGCAATTACTAGAGAACTAAAAACTCAGAAGGTTTATAATTTGAAAAAGATTTGGCATGTACAAAATTCATTTAAAACAAAATTGGGACGTATGTATCTCATGGAAAGATACTAGAAATCCTACAAACAATTATAAAATTTAAAAGGAGTTTCAATTTTCAAATAGAAGTTGCAAATTTTGGAGATTTCTCATTAGAATTCATTAAAATTATCTGAGAAAAACTATACCTAAATTTCACAAGATATTTTAGTATTATGCTGTTAGTATATTGAGGCAGAACTCCTGTTAGGCACAGCCCAAGCATGAATAATCATGCTCTAAACCTCACGAATATCAAACCATTTTCACAAGATATTTTAGTATTATGCTGTTAGTATATTGGGGCAGAACTCCTGTTAGGCACAGCCCAAGCATGAATACTCATGCTCTAAACCTCACGAATATCAAACCATTCCAGCAAAATGAAAGTCTTCTTCCTAATTTGTGTTACTCTACCCAAACTTCTAAGTTGCAACAAAAGGATAACCCAAAGAGGACATCATGAAAGTGTTGACACATCCACAAAACCCAAAAAAAGATATGGATATATTGAATCTCACCTGTCAAATCAATGTCCACATCACTTCTAGGATCAGAATCAATGTGACCGCCTCTCCAGTCAGTTGACCGTGAGGCCATCATATGCATCGACCGATGCTGCATTATATAGTTACCACTCCCCATGCTTTGATCCTCATTCCCTCTACCAGATATTCTTGGCGAAGAACTCTCTGGCAAGGATCGAAAATTCATAGGCATCGCCCCAACCATGGATGTAGACAATTTGCTGCCAGATGCCTCAGATTTCCCATCCTGATTTGGATCCTTCTTCCCATCAACGACAAAGGAACCAACAATTACCTGCACATTTTTGGATATTTAGTTGTTCAGTAGGATATGATGCAGAAAGTTTCAGGCATGGAAAAGGATGATGTTCAAAGTTGGGAAAAGTTACCTGAACGGGACAAGCTGCCACAAGAGGCCCTCCAACACCACCCCCCACAATACGCCCATCAGACCCAGACAAACACACACTAACCCCCCCGGTTCTTGAGAACGTTCCCCCAGTCTCAGAAAACAGGAAAGACCCAGAGAGTGAGAGAATCTCAAACCGCCCCTGAAATAAGAAAAGGAGGGTTTCATGAAAGCAGTTAACAAAACCCAAAACATGGTCAGCAAACATCTACGTGCCAAATGCCCAATTTATGCAGAAATTCAAAGGGTTAAAAGGCAACATACTTTTGGCTAATGTACTGAGATTCAATTGATCATATTCTACATATTGAATATTATATGCATACAAAGGTCAGACAAGTTAATGATGCCCCCAAGAAGTGGTTGCTTCATATTCTGATGACATGCACTGTACTATGAGGAAACAAATTGGAGAACAGATCTGTGATACCTTCTAAACTTCAGTGACCATTATTTAATGCCACATTCAGGAATAAGCATTTGTGTACTAAAAAGGATTCACACTGACCATGAGCATCATGCTCAAGCAATCTAGAAAGGAAATATGACAAGCAGTTTGTGTCTGAATTGTCAGGGCATCAAATACAGTACACCAACATAGTCCAAACCATTGACACATCCCTGAAATAGATGTAAGATAAAACGGTTTTTATTTTATTAAAAAAAATGTATAGAATAAGATTATGGCATAAAAATCAAAACAACTCGCAAATTTATAAATGCTTCAGAATAGTCAAATGATATATAATTGTCATTACAGACACAAGCATGCATGCACACACACGCATATATATAGACAAACCTATTTTTGTCGTTACAGACACATGACCATGCAAAAACACACGCACATATAGAGGGAGAGGCAATAAATCGAATATTTTTTTCTTTTTTTTGAAAGATATAAAGATGGAGGAAGATCATAAGCACATTTAGTTGTTCCAAAAGGAAATAGAAAATAGAATCAAATCACCAAAACTAAGCACAGCATATAGACTGCTTACAATAGCGTACACATGCACATGTTATACATACAGCATTCCCAGGGATACTGCATTTTACAAGCATTTCATAAAGGGAGCATATACAATGTATCAAAAACATCAACAAATAGAAGCCAAATCCACAATACACAAGAAAAATTGTGACCAAAATAATCAACTACTGACAATATATCAATCTAGACAAAGAAAACACATATGACAATTGCAGAACACATCATACTGGAATTTATGGTACCCAGCTCCCAGAGGTAAGTATTTTCAGTGGGCAGAACAAATTCAAGCATGTGAAAATCTGGTTAGACTAATCAAACTTACAAGAACAGGGTGAGCAAGAGATTATAAATAAGTTTTTTCTTTTTTTTTTTTGAATGAAAGATCACAAATAAAAGTTTGATATAATAAAAATAAATTCTAGACCAGATGAGTATGATTGACTGGAGAATCTGAAATTATTTTAAATATGAAAAATACTATTCCATTTATTTTTATTTTTTTTGAGAACTGTTAACATTTGTATTGATAATAAAAGAAAGATACAAGAGATTAGTATAATCCAAGAGTACCTAACACCTAGGACTCCAGGTAAAAAGAATAGGTCAACAGACCGTGTACAAAATGGGGTTATAAGATTATCCCCTTACAAAGTATATTGTAGATGTACAAAAAAGATGTAAACAAGACCGAAAGTGTATGTCCAGAAGTCCAGAAGGGGTTCAAGTAAAGTGCAATCTTTGTGCCCAAACCAAGAACGAACCGCTGTAGTGCCAAATCTTCAGCGCAGGCCATGGCTCTGTCGGCCAGTAGATCGGCAAACCCGTTTGACGTTGTTGAGATAGGCGTCCATTTATATTTTCGAGAACAGAGTGGTAAAAGTCAAATCCTTCTTTCCAATATGCAACATCCAATAAACAGATTCAATACCTTTTCTCAGTTGGTGAAGAAGAGACAAACTTGGCCAAGAAGCCTGATAGGGAATTCTCCAAAACTTAAAGCTGGAAGGATTCTGATTTAACCATATGAGAGTTACTTATGCTAGACAATAAAGCTATCATTGTATTGGCGGATTTCCTTAATTCCTAACACCTGAAAATTCCCAGAAACCTGTGACTCTGAAACATAATGATAAGTAGTCCATAATCCCTAGGAAAACCACTAAATCTATCCAAATGTAGGTAAATCAACCTAAATCTGACCAAATGAGTCCGAAGATAACCTAATTGATCCAGACTATTACAGAACAATGCAGAAACATCAGGAAACAGCCAATCGTGATCCCCGAAACAAGCCATCATACTGCCAATAGACTGGACCAGATGGTCTCCGAAATCATCCGACATTGAGCTTGATTCAACGACGTGGGATGCGTCACTTGGCCTGGTGGGGCCAGCGATGCGATATGTGTCGCTGACAATTCTGAGGCCCAGAAATTTCTGGAATCTCAGGGATGTAAATTTGGGGTTCCTTTTTCACCTTCTAGAATCTTTTGGACTTTGTTGAATGATAGATTTGATAGATCTAGAAGCCTAATCCTATTATTCTTTTGTTGACTGATAGATTTGATAGATCTAGAAGCCTAATCCTATTATTTTTTTTTTTTGAAATTGTTTGCTGTAGAAGCGTAATCCTATTAGATTTCGAATTCTAGACATAAGCCTAGAAATCATAATCTTAATGGAACTAGTGCCTAATTAGAAGCCCATATAAACGCTCCCTAGTTCCTTTTAAATTCATTACCAAAAAGAACTAAAAACCCTTAGAAATTAAGCTTGAGAGAAATTCCTTAGAAATTAGGTCAAAATTTTCTTAGGCTACAGAAACCCCGAGGTGACCTAACCTTGAGCTCTATCCTAATTATCCATAAAACCCTAATTTTCAAATTATAAGCCTCAGGATGAGCATCCCTAAGCATCAAACCCCTAGGAAGAACATATTCCCAAGTACAAATTCTTCAAGAAACAAGAAAGCAAAGGAGAAAATCAACCTACGGTATAATAGGGTCCCAAGTCCAAGTCTTCAGATGTCCCACGCCAACGGGCTCAGTTCAGGTAAGTTTTCTTCCTTTTCTTTAATTTAAATTTCAATTTATTTTCTATGTTTTCTTGTTTAATTACGTTTGGGTTTTTACGTGATTTCAAGCCAGCTCTACTGACGGTGTGTGAGGAGAAGATTTATTCATGCAGAGCCATCTTTTCATATGTTGCAATTCGACAGACCCCACTATTCTCTATCGATATTTCAATCGTTTAGTTTGAAGCATAAATTAGAGCATAAATCAAGGAGGACTTCCACAAAAGATACTCTGGATTTAGCTGTAAACAGTTTGGCACCCACCGTGGGGCATGTCGAGCTTAATTTTGCATCAAAATCCATCAAGAAAATGATGCGGAATACACATTCCAAAGCCTGTTTCTGACCAATTAGGAACCTAAGATTACAATATGGAACAAATTTGACCTCCAGAAAGGCCCAGTAAGAAATGGCGCATTTTGGGTCTCAGGTAAGAGACAAACTGAAGGTGCATACTGCATCATCAATCTGTTATGGACCCGCCAGGCCTCTAGGGACGCATTGTGCGTCACTGACAATAGCCTGGACAGCCACGCACAACGTGTAGCTAACCGAACCAGGCCCCAGAACTCTCCGCTGAGACCATTTCGACCCCTGTGGTCATCTCCAAGGGCATGTTTCTTCCTGTCACCTCTGTTTCCTGATTTATTTCCAGTTAAAGTATTATTAAAATTAATTTCCTTGTATTAAATTCTTCGATTTCTTGTCATACTTGTTAGCGGCTTTCATTGCTACACGTTCTCCACACACATGCACATATGCTCTTTTCCACACCTTTTGCACACAAATACCTCTGAAAAACTATTTTTAAAATTTTTTGGGAACCCGAAGTCAGCATTAATGCTAAGAGGGGAACCTAACTATTGGCAGAGGGACTGTTGGGGATTCCACAACTTTAACTATGAGTTCCCCTCAGCAATTCTTTGCCCCATAGCACCCCACATACAGTAAGAACCATAGAAATACCCATAAGGGTGGCATGGGGCTTACGTGGGTACCCATTGAGACCTAGCCATGTTTCAACTTTTCTCAGTTAGGAACCCCAGCTAAACCGTAAACCTACCTATAGAACTAGGTCAAATTTTTCAAACCTTTTGTGTGGTGTTTTGCTTAGCCTAATCTTGGTTAGCTTTGTCTGTGATTGTCCTGGTCTATCGTAGTTAGGTCCGAGTCTTTAGTCTTCGTATAGATTAGGAGCCCTGGACCACCAGGTCTGCAAGACCCATGGCACCCTGAGTAGTCAAGGGATCAAACCAGGGGCAATCCTCCAAGACATGGGTATTACGCTTAAGTCTGGTCAGCATGACCAAGGTAGGTCAAATGTCCTTGAACCCTTGCGTCATACAACACAAGCCGATTAACCCCAGTGGTCAGTTACCATCTCATCATTCTAACCCTGATAACCAGTCCATCAGAGGGCAAGTTAGGGTACCCAATCATGTCTCTGGTCACCATGATACTGCCAGGGGCAGTTCATATATCCGCCCTTACACCAATCTTAAGTCAGGGTCCTGGCCCTGAGTCAACACCAAGCAAACCCTAAGGTGCCTGCATTCGTGCAAGACCTAGCAAACCAAGGATATACCATTCAACTTTGTCGACATAGGCAAGGTTTGCCAAAAGTACAAACCCTTGGTCACTTCCGGCTAACCGGCTCAAACCAGGTTAACCCTCGCAGCCAATCACTGAAGAGTCATGGACCATCCACTAGGAGTAGATCACCTAGACAAGGGTCTGGCTCTGGTTGCCAACCTTCACGCCAAGGGCACCTCCTAGACCCGACTAACAAAGGTCAAAGGTCCAATCACCACAATTGCCCTAGGGCTCACTCCCACTCATCCATTAGTAACACACAGTTTTGCAAGGTTTATTGAGAAACCTAGTGAGTCAAGGTGAGCCCAACCAAGCTCAACCAAATAATTTAGGAAGGTCCATAGGCCAACAACCAGTCTACCCAACCAGGCCAGTTCCCTGAGTTCAGCCTTTGGGGCAACCTAATCAATCAACTATCAGTCAGTACGAGCAGGTTACGTACCCTAAACTCAAGCACACAATCCTTCTTAGTCAACCAGCC